CGGGGCGGACAGTCGGGGCGGGGGCAGTCGGGGGGCGGATGGTCAGGGGGCCGACGGTCAGGGGTGCGGGAGGGCTGGGGGAACGCCACCTGGCGCCATAGACGTAGAAGCAGTAGATGTGGAAAGTGAGGAGGGCGATGATGTCCGACAGGAGGGACACGGCAACCGTGAGGCCCAGGCAGGCGGAGAGGCCCACGTGCCACAGGATGCGCTCAATGAACGGTGACATGAGATGGATGTAGCCTGTGGGGGACGGCTGGCCTCAGCAGTCCTGCCCCATCCTCCCGGAGGACGGACAGGGCGAGGGCACAGCCAGCCCCCCGCCCCCACACACACCGTGCACTCACTGATCCACAGGTGGATGTGGTAGAGGAAGAAGCGGCCCAGCACCTGGTCCAGTGCCCGGTTCATCTTGAGCCCGGCAGGCGCGCCCATTAGCCACTGCAGCAGGTGCTGAAGCTCCTCGGCCACGCGCTGCAATCACAGGGCGCGTGGGTGGCAGCCGGGTGACTGCACCTCCCATCCACCCTGACCTGTTCCCTCTGTGGTCAAGCAGCCCCTCCTGCACAGTGGGGCTTCTGGAGCTCGGGGGATGACATGGTCGGTAGAGCCTTCCAGACCCCAGTTGTAACCAGGAGACCACAACTGGGACCGAGAGTGCCCCTGGCCTGCTGGACACGTTGCCTGAGTGCATCCTGCTCCTCCCCGCTCACCCTCAGGCCACTGGACTCAGGGACGCTGGGCCAGATGCTCGGCCTGGACAGCCCACTCCCAGCCAGCCTCCTCTGCTGGCCCTGTGACCTCACCCTGCAGAGGCCCCGGGTGGTGATCAAGGGCCCAGGTAGCAGGCGGGAGGGTGGGACTCCCCTGGGGACAGGCAGGGACTTCAAAGTTGAGACCCTCGCAGCAAGTGGGAGCCGTGGAGGCTGCCCGGGAGGAAGGCCAGTACCGAGAGGCCCAAGCAAGCTCTCTGTCACCAACCTGGGGCTGCAGGAGTAAGCTCCCCACCCACACCTGAGCCGCCCGCCTCCACCGCCCAGTTGGTCCCGACTGCGCCGAGGCCTCACAGCCACATTGGACACAGCCCTCACGGCCGAGAAGAGGACAGAACGTTCTTTATAAATAGCGCCTGTTTAATATTTAAAAGGTGAGAGCCAGGCAGCAGACAGAGGCTTTCATTTTTAAATTAAATATTTATGTTTCTGAGCAATTTTGCAAAAGGAAGTCCAGACGATGCGGCCCGACACCGAGCGCGGGTGAGCAGGGTGGGCCCGCCAAGCCCCTCCCCAGCCCTCCTCACTCCTGGGTGGGCCCCTGAGCTTTGTGGGGGCTCACAGCCTGCGAGGGGCTGAGAAGCAGCCCCACACCCCACCCCACCCAACAGGCCCAGAGCACACCATAGCCCAGACAGAGTCTGGGAGACAGCTGCAGGCCAGAGAGGCCACCCTGAGCAGGAAAACAAGCTCCCAACAGAAGTGAGGGGTTTTTGGCTCTGAGGAAGGGAGACAGAGAAGCTGGCGGCTCTAAGGAGCTGTGGAAAGGCAGCGAGGTGGACGTGGGAGGCCTGAAACGGCAGCGTGGGCCCCCTACTGGGGGGTAGGCGAACCAGAACAGCAGAGACCTAAGGGGCAGGGAAGACAGCAGGAGCCCTGGACACAGAAGTTCTGTGACACTGACCCCAAACAGGGCCAGGCCAGGAGAGCAGCAAGATGGTTTCACTGGGGAGAGGCCTTCTCCAGGACAGGGGGGTGCAGGGGATTTGTCTGTGGCTCCCCAGGGCCGGGGGTCTAGGCCAAGCGAGGCCCGTGCCCCTGATGGCAGACAGCTGACATGGCAAAAACCCCTATCCCCCACTCACATCGGCCACAGGGATGAGGGCGTCAGCTAGCTGCCCAATGCGGTCCTTCCCATGGAGCCAGGTCAGCAGCGCCAGGCCCAGGGCCACATCCAGCAGCACTGAGATGAGCACGTTGGCCTTCCTGGGGGTCAGATGGACAGTGAGAGCAGCCGGGGTCGGCGTGGGGCGGCCCCCTACCTCTCAGCCCGTGACGGGGGCCACACCTCATCAGCTGGGTGGGGTTTTCCGCCTTCTGGGTACTGAAGACGAGCGAGAGCTGCCCCAGCCGGTGCCGGACCTGCTCACAGGTGGACAGCTTGCTGCAGATGAAGGGCAGTGGCCACAGACGAAACAGCCTGTAGGTGAGAAGGGTTGGCCCCTGAGGCCCTCCTGCCACAGGGGAGCGAGCCAGCTCGAGGAGCAGACACCCCCTCGCCTCTGAGCACAGAGGAAGGGCCGTGCCGTGCTCAGCCCAAGGCCCAGGTGCCCCAAACCCTGAGGGCCATGTAGCCACGCACGGCCGGGGCAGTGAGGCAGGTGAGAGGGCACCCCACGGGCCAATGGGCAGGGACAAGTTGCCACCAGGCTCCCCCAAGCCCCACCTCACCATGCATCAGCCCCACTCCCTCCCAAAGTGACAGACCCCTGACTATACTTCCCGCCACCAGCCAGTCCCAGGTCTAATGCCAAGGGCACTCCGGAGGAGAAAACAACGCCGCCCCTGCTGATGGGGCCCCAGAAGGCTCGGCTAGCCCCCCAGGAGATAGGACCTTGCAGGGCAGGCGAAGCAGAGGCCGCCCCACCCCAGACACGCAGATGTCGGGGGGAGGTCTCCGGGGCGAGGGCAAAGAGCGTGATGGTCTGCAGCCATGTTCACAGCCTCACTGCAAATTCAGAGCCTGGCTGGAGGCAGAGGAACCTATAGGACGCAGAACACGCAGCACCTCCAACTCACCTCGGGAAGGAGGGGGAGGCCTTCACCTTGGAAGACTTTAAAGGCTTCGTCTTTGGCAGAGCGGCTTTGAACCAGCTCCAGGAAAGAAAGTGTGCAGCGACCCCCACCCCTCAACTCCAACCACAAGGAAGCCGGCCAGTACAAGACCGCCGAGACCCTCACCACGGCCATGGGCTGCTCTGTCCTGGTGCCTGGGGAGGGCACAAAGCCATGGGCACAGGGGCTGTGTTCCTGTGCAGACAGCCCACCACACTGAACGGCACAGTGCTGGGGGCTCATCAACGTTCTGTGCACATGAGCGGTGCTAGCCTTTCCCGGGCCCTCGGAGAAGCTGACAAAAGCTGACGACCTTCTCCCGCAAAAGCACCTCTGTACAGACACCCTCACGTGCACAGCCCTGAAGCCCCTCATGTCAGGCTCCTGGGTGACCCAGTCTCAGACGCCCCGCCCAGAGCAGCCGGGCTGTCTCTGGGACAGAGCCATGGCTCGTGGGGCCCGGCGCACACAGCCACAGCACACGGGGTCCCTGGAGGCAGGAGCTTGATGGGGCCAGGCCAGTCCCTATGGTCTGAGACCCCAGGACCTGGGAGGTGTCCTGCATCACAGCTGCTCCCCACAAGGGGCGCCATCAGACAAGAGGCCTGCAGCCCAGCCCAGAACCTCTGCTTGATGAGCAGAGCAGCCTGGCCAGTGGCTATTGATGACTACATGTCCCCCTGGCTACCACTGGGGACAAGTAAGCCCCAGGCAGGCAGACACTGTGTCCGCTGTCTGCCTTCTCTCTGGGAGCCCAAACCACAGAAGGCCCATCCCTATTCCCCTGGGTCTACCTACCTGCCTCTCCCTGGGAGTAAGAGGCCCCAGGCCACGGCCTCCACTGGGAAAGCCCCCCAGACCCAGCTGCTCACCGAGGAATAGCATGGCTGAGTCCTGCCTCCACGCCCTGCTGTGGACACCCGAGGCACCCATGCTTCTCAACATCCGCCCCCTGCCCTCCCTCGCTCCTCTCCGACAGGCCCCAAGCACCCACCGGCAAGCAGCCATGGCTGAGAGGAGTGACAGCAGGAAGCTGAGCAGCAGGCAAGCGGGCCCGGCGGCCTGCTTGGCCAGCTCCACGAGGACGCTGGCCTCCACACCCTCCGACTGCCAGTGGCTCAGCCGCACGGGCCCCTCATCAAACCTGTCACTGCTGAAGAGCGCCTTGCTGCGGGCCACTGTGTCAAAGACAGCGGCCAGGCCCCCGGCGCTGGCTGGGGCGTCCCCAGCCTGGTGGTCGGGCAGGGCAGCAGGCGGGTGCAGCTGGGACAGCAGCACCTGGCGCTGGTCATAGAAGACGAGCATGACCTGGTCCTCGCTGGGCACGCCGGGGGGTGTGGACCGCTGGATGGCCTTGCAGCTCCAGAAAGTGCTGCCCCGTTCACGGCACAGCTGCAGCCAGGGCTCGTGGAAGAAGATGACCCCCAGGCCCTCCAGGAAGCGGCCCAGGCCCTCCTCGGGCTCCTGCCGGCGGTGACACCAGGTGCCGAGCACGGCCACGCCCACCTGGCTGGCCTGCTGCACCTGGGCCAGGAGCTCCTTGACTCGGACGGGGATGAAGGGAAAGTGTACCACAGCCAGGACCACCGCACTGCTCTGCTCCGGGACCCACCGTCCCACCAGCAGCCCACTGTCCGCCGAGGTGCAGCACGTCGGGAAGAAGGCCTTGAGCACCATGCCGGGGACCCTGGAAGAGAGTGGGCTCACTCGCAGTGCTGCCACCACGGCAAGGGAAGAGCTGCTGAACCAGGCGGCAGCAAGGCAGCTGAATCCGGGGCCCCGACGGGCAGAGGCAGCCCCGAGGGCCACCGTCCACACAGCTGAGGGCCACCGCTGGGCCGGGCAGTTTGGGGTCACAGAGGCCGGCGGGTGGAGCCCTCGCCTGCTGACTGCACACAGGCCACGCTCCTCCGTGAGCCCACAGGGCACTGCCCCGCTGTGCCCCTGACTTGTGCCCCCACGTCAGTCCCCACCTGCACTCCAGGCTGCCCAGGACATGTGGCCAGTTGCCTTCCACGTGGCACACCCACCAAGGGCATGTCACAGGGGTGAGGGGAGGTCACGTGACTCGCTTAGCATCGCTTAATCAAAGTGTTTTGAGACCTAAAATGGGGCTTTTAATTTTTGCTTTTAAGGAGCCTGACAGTTTTTCCTGGGGAGCACCCAAAAGAAGGCACAAGCTCTTTAACAATTAAAGAAACGAAACTTAAGCTCTGAGGAACCCTGACTGCCTGACGAACAAGAATAAAGGTGGGAACCTAGTGCCCACTGCCCCCGGGCCCTGAGCCCCTGCCTGGTTAGCAGCCCCATCCAGGATCCAGGCCCACCCTCCACCCAACCTGCGTGGCCCGGGGGCAGTGCCCATCTTTGCCGGGAGCCCAGGTGTCCAGCAAGCACCTCCCTCAGTGCTTGGTCCTGCTATCTAGGACTTTTCCTAGAGCTCTGCGGAAGTGGGGGTGGGAGGTCCCAGGGCCCCTGGAGGTGTGGGGAACGTGCGGTTCCTTCCGGCAGAGCTCCTGTGAGACACGCTCAGGCAGAGAAAACGCACCTCGTCTGGCCCGTGGCCTTTCAGCAGCAGTTGGGATGGCTGAATTCTGAAGGACCCTGAGCCTGTTCTTCCCAAGATGTGAACTTGTGGGGGACTGTGGGTTCCTGAAACCCCCTGAGCAAGCCCGTCTGCGTTGAGACAGCTGCCGCTGGGTGGGGTTCCTCCCCGAGGCAGAAGGAACCTCCAGCACAGCAGTGGGGGCCCACGCTCACCTGTGGATACGCTTTCCCTGGCACTGACTGCCCCCGTTTCACTGCACAACCCCAGACTAGTGCCCTGAGCAAAGACCCCTGGGTCGGACCTCCTACCTCAGGCTGCACCTGGCCTCCAACCCCAGTGCTCACGAGGCCCTCTGGGACAAGGGGACAGAGGGATACACGAGCACACACGCACTACACACACACTCCTGCGGGCCGGAGGGGCTCGGACAGGACCTCATACAGACACAAATACATGTGGCTTCAAAGGCCACTCCTGCGGCTGCCCTCCCCTGCAGGTAACTCAGACCAGGGCCTGGGAGGGTCTGGGCTCTACTAACCAGCTTGGGAGGGCCTCTCGCAGCTATAGGTTTTACAGGAAAGGGGTCCCTCTAGGTGGAGCTGCCCCAGTGACCGGAGATGGCAGACAATGGGGGGACTCCAGCAGGGAAACCACGAAGCCCGATACCAGCCCTTGGCCAAGCCCCTGTGGCCACCATCAAGGGCCAGCTTCCTTCCTGACCCCTTTCCAGGGCTCACAGGCCATCCCCCAGGGCCTGCCTTCCTGGGAGCCAAGTCAGAGGGATACAGCAATCCCAACCACAAGGGCAGCATGTCCCCCTGGGCGACCCCTCAGGGCCTGGGGCCCTAGCAGTCAACGACATCATCACAGCCTGCCTAAGGAACTTCTTGCACAGGAGCTAAGGAAAACTCCCTGTGGCTGTTGCTGGAAAAGAAATACAAACGTCCTTACGAGAATGCTGTGGGGGAGACTGGCTCTTCGGTGTAGTCACTGGGTTAAAACTCAGCAAGTAGTACAAGTGGGATTTGGACACTTTGTAGATGTTATGCTTCATCTAAAAAGTTTATCTAAAAAAAAAAGGCTCTTCGCATCTAAGGAAGGAGAAGGTTGGAGGGCAGAAGCTGACGTTCTTATCTGTGGGGCATCGAGAGACAAGTCTTAACATGTTATGGGGCAGATTCCCATCCCGCTCCAACCTCAACCTCTGGGAGTGGCTGAAGTACAAAAGGAGAGTCGGCTGGCCTGCCAGCCGCCGGCATCAGACAGAAACAGATGAAAGTGCAGGCGAGATCGATAGCAGAGGAGCGGGATGGGAGGGAGGGGGGCAGGAACCTGGGCAAAGCGAGCACCTTTCAACACTGTGATAGAAAGATACAAGCACCCGCCTGGAAAAGCCTCCTCTGGAGAAGGAGATCCCGTCAGACAGCCCACACCCCATCAGCCGGGTAGAGGTCGCCGGGTCCCCTCTCCCCCCAGAACCCCAAGTCAGTCTACCTTGTAAAGGAGGGGCGCACTTCCCTCTCCTCCTCCCTTAGAACGGATGCCGGGAAAAGCCCAGCTGCACTGGCCAGGGACCCCTCCCCTCCTCCCGGAAGCCCCCTGCCCACGGCCCCTCCACATCTCCCGGAATTCGTTTTTACCCGCGTTGTTTATGTTTCCAAAACAGACCACCTTGTTGCCTTCTGCAGACAGTGCCTTTCCCTCTCATTTCAGAAGGGGGGTGATTCTAGGATTGATTTTTGCCCTTTTTTCCCGCACGTCGGGGACAACCGTCAAGGGAGGACAGGCCGTCTCGCGGCCCCGAAAGCCCTTCCAGAGGGTCCACCGCGGGCAGACGGGCCCGGCTCCCCGAGAGCGCCCCCCGGCCGGGCCACGAACCCTCCCGGAGCGGGGAGGCTGGAGGGAAGCCCGCTCCCTCCTTCTCCAGCCTCAGGCCGGGCGGGCGGCGGGAGGTGACCACCTCATTTTACGGAGGGGACACAGGCCCGAGGGATGAACGGCCGGCCGGCTCCCGGAGAGGCCGCCGTGCGCCCGCCGAGGCCGGGGCGTCCGGGGCCCGCTGGCCCCAAGGTGACACCGCAGGGCCCGCCCACCCCCTCTGCTCACCGGCTGCTCCCCCGGGCTCCGCCCTCGGGCGGCGGGGTCGGAATGAGGTTGGGGACCGCGTTGAGCTGGCCCGGGCGGACGGCGGCGTTCGCGGGCCCCAGTCCCGCCGCGGCCCCGCCGCGGGACACGAGCCCCATTTCCGCCGGCTCCGCCGTTGCTGGGCGACGGTCCGGCCCCCAAAGGCGCCCGGGCAGCCCGCCGGCCCGCGCCGGAGCGTTCCGCGCGCGCAACGTTTCCGCCCCGTCCCCGCTTCCGTCTGGCGGGGCGACGCCGACCCTCTTCCCCAGCCCGCGGCCGCGACCCCGCGCTCCCGCCCCCGGCAGCCGCCGAACTCCCTGAGCCCCACTTCTGCGTCTGTTGCGCGAGTCGAATCTGACAATGAACAGAAAGGACATTCACTACAAAGTGGGGTCCCCTCATCTGTCCTTCAGAGAGGGAGTAGGTGAGCTTTGGGGGGTTGAGGGACTGATTGGTCCTGGCCTGGGGTCCATGACCCCAGGGCCCGCAGTTCCAGGCTGGCCCCAGGCTGGCCCCCTCCCACGCTGCTCCCTGCAGAAGGCCCCCCAAGTCCCCACAGCAGGGAAGGTGGGGCCTGATAAAACCCGCCCAGAGGCTGCGGCCGTCAGATTGTCAGGAGGGGCACACCGGCCCCTGCTGTTCTGGGTAACAGCACCCCAACTACAGCTGCAGCAACTAACATTCACTGAGCCCCACGGCATGCTTGCGTGGGCTGGCTGAGACGTACTGGGGGGCCTAGACCACAGCCCCCAGAGTCCTGACAGGCACAGACAGAAGCACCCTTTTCCGGCCTCAGGGGCAGGGGCAGAAGTAGGCATGGTCCCTCCCCACCCTTTCCCCCATAAAGACCCCTCACTGCAACCAGGAGCCTGGCTGGGCCCAGGACTCACCCCTACCCCTTTGGGGCCTCATTTCCCGGTGTAGAATGTGCCTCTTTTAAGCTGCAGGAATTTGTCTTCACAGGACACGTCTCCTGGACCTCGAGGCCGCCAGAACCCCCCCAGCCTCCACCTCCTTGCCTCGCCCCTGGGGGTGGGGGGCAGCTTGGAGCCCTTTGGCCACATGCCACCCCCGGGGCACCTCCACGGCCCCTGTGCCCTGCTGCCACCCCCCCTTACCTCCTCAGGGCTCAGAGAAGCTGCTGGAGGCTCGTCTGGCTCCGTGGGTACCTCTGAGATTGGAGCGCACTGAGGGCCTGCTCCCCCGCCTACAGCTGCCTGGCCCTCCCAGCTGCACCCTCCCTGCCTGGGTCTGTCTGATTAGGGGTGGGGCGGGGGTGGCTTGCCGCCCAGTCCCGGCATGCCAGGCCTGATGGGGAGCAACGTGGAGGGGACACAGGTTCTGAGGCTGTGGGCGGGGCGGGGAGGCTGCTGTGGTCGAGGTCTGAGTCCTCCTCGGTGAGGTGGGATGTGAGGTGCTCAGCAGTCACCTCTGATGCAGCCCTGGCTGTTCCTCCAGGGAGCTGGGGCCGGGGGCTGCTCTGAGCTGTACCCTCGTACGCCTTGCTGTAGCCGTCCCTGGCGTCCGCCACCATGAGCTGGCCCTGGGGTGCACAGGCCATGCCAGAGGGCTGCCCCAGCCCCTCGGACACCAGGCAGACGGGCGCCCGTCCACCATGATGACATCGGCCTCTGAGTTGGAGCACATGCCCGCTGGGCTGCCAAAGGCATGACCCATCCGGCCACCCAGGGAGCCCAGGGCTGAAGGGTCCTGCCAAACAGCTGCACATCCCACACTCCTCACTCACGGCGAGGCCCCCATCACGCCCTGGGCCCACCCAGCAGCCCAACACAGAGGTGGGCGCCAGTGTGAAGCTGCGCACAGTCCAGGCACATAGTCCGTCACGAGGAGGCAGCGGAGGGCGTCCACAGCCCTCAGGGAGACTGGCAGGTGCCCACGGTCACCCAGCAGCCCTGAGGGGCCCAGGTGGTGTGCTGGAGTAAGGTCATAGACCAAGGTCACTGACCACCACGAGCCCCGCAGCCGTCACAGCCACATCCTCTGGCACAAAGGGCCCAAACCCCGGCACACGGCAGGGCAGGCCTCAGACAGTTCGGCCCTCCAGGTCCAGCACACGGACATAGGGCGCAGCCCCCGCGATCAGGAAGAGCAGACCATCCGGGGAGCAGTGCAGGTCCCGGGGTCCCTCTGCGGCTCTCTCAGGCACCGGCATCTGCCCCAGCAGCTGGGGCCACCGGGCAAGGGCAGGGCCTCCAGGGCAGTCTAGCATGAGGTGCAGCCAGGGGCTGGAGGCAGGGCAGCCCAGGTGATTGGGGGGCAGGAGGCCAGAGGGCAGGCGAGCAGGCTCAGTCTTCTTGGAGCCGCTGGTGTGGCTGCTCGGCTGCCAGTTGGGGCTGCAAGGATGAGGTCAAGCCCTCACTGTGTGCCCAGCCACAGTCCTCTCGATGCCCTCCAGGGGGCCAGTGTCCTCCCCCTTTGACAAGGCTGGGGGGGGGTCCAAGCTAGAGCTGGAACTCAGCTCAGCCAGGTCCCAAGTTCCTGCCTGGTTCCCCAAACCAGCAGTCACCACGCCCAGAGGCCCCATTTCCCTAGATGTGGTCCTTGGAACAGACGGACGTTTGGAGGGGGGCTTTGAGTTCTATCTCTGAGCCCCAAGGCTTCTCTCAGCATCGAAGCATCCCAGGGGGGTGGTAGAGGTGACAAGTCGTGTGTCTCAAACTCATCCGCCCGTGGAACCCTTCCTTTGTGTAGAAAAACTGACTTTTCATGGGGTTGGCCCCAGCCCCTGCTCACCACCCACACACAGCTCCTCCATCTGGGCCCCTGCACCCAGGACCTCTGAGGCCGAGGCAGGGGACACATTCCCAGGCCTCCCCACCTGCCCCACTGGAGGGAATGGGAGGGGTCTCCTACTTGGGGCCAGCTCCCTCATCCCATCCCCAGGCTCCTAGGCTGCAACCTCTGTGGATGGAAACCGGAGCGAGGAAGGAGAGGAGCCGCCCAGCAGGTTCCCACAGGGACACAGTGGGGCACAGGGCACAGTGGGGGCAGGGGCAGGCTCCAGCTGCCACGTTGGGCTGCCACGTTTGAGCAGCTGCCCGAGGAAGCTGTAAAATGGAAATTGGATTGTGCCGCTCCGCTGCTTGTCCTCCAGGCCGTCAGTGCTGCCTCAGGGCCTTTGCACTGCCACACCCTCGGCCTGGACGGCTCCCTGCCCCCACGGCTGGATCCCACTGTGCCTGGGCCCCTGCAGATCCAATGAGATTCCACCCACCCCTGTGCACGGAGTGGCCCAAGCAGGACCCAGGTGCTTGAGCACCCAGGCTGGTGTGGGTCTGCACCCCAACCTGCCCACTGGTCACAGGTGGAGGCTCCAGGGGGGCTGTCTTGTGTCCCCCGGCTGGGGGACTGGGCAGGGGGCCTCTCTCTAAGAAGAGGGTCCTATGTCTGCATCTGTGACTGCTGCCGCAGCCCCCCAGGACCAGGCACACCTGTCTGCTCGGCCCCCTGCCTGCCAAGTGGGGGAACTGACCCCCAAGGCAGTGAGACACCGGGGTGTGGTAGATACATGGGCGCTGACGGGAGGCTGGGAGGGGTGGGTCCACTGAGACTCGGGGCCCGGGGATTCTCCCACACCCTGCTCTGTCCGCGTCCCTGCAGCCCACCGAGGAAGCCTCCAGATCGCCTGTGGGGGTGAGGTCAGCCTGGCGAGCACCCCAGCCGGCACCGCCCGTGGCCCTGTCTGCGGCCCACAGCCCCCCTCGCCTGACCACCCGGCACCCCAGCTTGGATGCCTCTGGGTGGGGGCAGGCACGATGCTATCACAGTTAATGGGGCGGTCGAAGTCCTGCGCGGACTGGCCCCAGCCCGGCCGGCCCAGCCCCAGCTCGGGGAGCGGGCACAGGCAGGAGACAGCCCCGGGGCCAGTCCCAGGTGGACTCAGTGAGTGTGGCCCAGCTCCCTGGGGACAGGGTGATCAACTGTGCCCCAGGGTCTCTGGGTGCCTCCCCAGCCCCCACCCCGTGGGAGCACCAGGCCTCCGGGCTGGGCTGGAGGTAGCCAGCTGTGAAGGCCACAGGTGCCTGGGGTGGCTGCAAGGGCTGGAGGGGGCCCAGCACAGCCACGATGGATGGAGCAGCCCAGGCCTCAGAGTGGGGGAGGCAGCACTTTGCACAAGGAGGCAGCTACCAGCTGGACTCAGACTTCAGGGTGACCCTGCCCTGCCAGCCGTGAGAGCTGGACGCATCCTTACCCTCCCACCGCACAGACAGACCAAGCCGTCCCAGCCAGTCCCCCAACCATGAAGGCCTGCAGGCCCTCGTGCTGGTCACTCAGGGAAATGCCCCTGCCCTCTCTGCTGATGCCCAGGCCGCAACCCCCGCCCCCAGGGCCCCAGAAGGACCCTGCCTGCAGGAAGCAGGTCAGAGAACCCAGAGTTGGGCTCCTGGTGGCCAGGGACCCCGCCACCCAGGGACCACGCCCACCTGGGGACACCCAAGGACCCTAACCACCCAGGGACACTGCCTGCCTGGGGACACTCAGGGACCCTGCCACCCAGGGACCCTGCCCACCTGGGGACACCACCCGCCTGGGTGCTATCGTGGGGGCACTGACAGGGGCACGTGTCCGGGCGGTGAAGGAAGAAGGTGAAAGGTGTGTGTGAAGTGGTTTCTATTTCAACATCCAGGACTGTCAGCAATAAATAACCGTGACCCCTCACGTCCCTGCCAGGCCCTACAGACAGGCGGGTCTGTCCAGGTGCATGCTGAGGCCAGACAGGTCCCCACGGGGGCTGCGGAGGGGGGAGCGGGGGCGGGGCTTAGAGGATCAGGGACAAGCGCTCTGAGGGCAGAGGTGAAGGGCAGGGGACGTCCAGGGCTGGGTCAGACCTCTGCACCCCGGGGGATCTGCAGGCCGGGGACATCCTCAGGGGTCTGGGAGCCCCCTGCTGCACCGCGGGTGCCCCAGCCACCACAGGTAGTGGCGTCCTCGGGGGCTGGCAAGGGGCGGCCCGGAGGCGGGACACTAGAGTCGGCCTCGCACTTGGTGGTGTGGCCAGAGAAGGGCTCAGCGGCTGCAGGGACCCCCTGGCGAAACGTAGGACCTGGCTCAGGTGGCCCCCAGGCCTCTGAGGGCGGTCTGGGCCCCTTGGCTGGCACCCGCTTCACAGAGAGGTCGAGGGGCCCGTCAGGCGGGCGCACAGCATGCTCCAGTGCTCGGTGGATATACAGCAGCTCCCGGCGGATCTTGCCCAGCTGCTCGCGAAGGGGGCGTGGGGCCAGGCCCCCCACAGGCGCCAGCTGCCCCAGGCACTGCTCCACACGCACATAGTCACCCAGGGCCCGAGTCAGGTCTTCACCCACGTGCCCCGGGCTGCCGGGCCCCAGGCCATGCGGCAGCTGGGAGAGGGAAGCCACGGGGCCCAGGGTCTCCGGGTCCAAGGGATCCTTGTCCTCAGTCCAGAGCATCGCAGGGGTGCCAGTAGGCAGGCTGGGAGTGAGGTGCTGGTCAGAAGGCCGCCCCAGCCCCTGCCTCCACTCCCCAGACTGGGACGGCTGCCAGGACCCCCTTGCCTACAGCCTGCTGCCCGACGCCCCAAGGAAGGGGGATAAAGCCTTGGCCTGAGGACCAGAGACCCAAATAGGCTGACTCCCCAGCCTCGGTTTCCCCTCTGTGGCTACACCCTGCCCCGGACTGTCCTCCTCGGGCCCTCTCCTCCCCAGAATCAGGGCCCTCAATACCCACCTGCTCTGGGAAGCAAACTTGGCTATGCTTGGAACCTTCCGGAACTCTAGCCTGCTTCCCGGGGGTGCCTTCCTCTTCGGATCCTCTTCAGCAGCCTGCTCCAGCTCCCCCTCCCGCCCTGGATCCCTGGGGGGGCCACGGGGCCAGACCCCCCCCACCCCAGCTACAGGCACCTTCAGCAGCCCGACGGCCAGAGTTCCAGGGGGTCCCCTGGGAGTTGCAGGGGGCTTGGTGGGGGTGGCCCTGCCTGCCGGCAGCCCCAGGCTATGTTCCAGGAGCAGAGGGTAGTAGAGGCGGGGGGCTAGGGCCGGGCGCTCAGGGGGCTGCGGGGCTGGGAAGGCAGGGGCCGGGGGCAACAGGGGGCCGGCCGAGGCCAGGAAGGGCATGTGGGCAGTGGCCAGGGAGGGCCCCAGGTAGGAGAAAAGCCCCGGGCCGAGCGGGTAGTTGACGCCCAGCAGGGACAGGTGGAGGTTCTGGGCCTCAGGGAACTCGCTGAGGGTGGGGGGCGGATAGCAGGGGACGCTGCCCTCAGGGCCCGCGGCAGCTACGTCTCCCACAGCCGTGCTCCTCGGGCTCCCGCCTGGCCCAGGCTTCTGTGACTCGCCCAGGAGCCCGCCAGGACCCAGACCCTTCCTGGAGGCCCTGGCGGCGGGGGGTGGAGTCTCCGGGGTGCCCTTGGCCCCCGGCTCGGGGCACCCGCCGCAGCGGCGCAGGGACGAGCTTTCGGTGCCACCGAGGCCGGGTGTGGTGGGGGCATCGGGGTCCCCGGGGCCGTGGGGGGGGCGGCGGCATGCCCAGTCTGGGGAGTCGAGCAGTAGGGAGAGGGAGTCCTTGCAGAGGCTGTACTTCATGTGGTTGTACAGATGTGACTTCTCCAGGCAGGTGAAGGGGCACTGGAAGCACTTGTAGTTGTACGGCTTGCCCCACGGGCGCGGGATGTAGTGCGGCTTCTTGGGCTTCCGTGCCCGCGCCCGAGCCCCCGCCGCTGCCTCTAGGGACATGGCAGCCTGCTAGCGGGCCCGTCTGGCCACCATGACCCCCTGGGGACAGGGACCGCAGTCAGTGTCCACCACCTCGGACGCTCCCGTGCCCCCCAGCCACTCCCGGTCCCCCAGGGTCACAGGTGTGGCAGAAGGGAACACAGGACCCCTGCCACGCCTGCCTCTCAGCTGCACCACAGTCACTTCTTAGTGACGGAGACGCCACCAGGCGTCCTGGCTGCCCCTGCAGGCCCGTTTCTGGGGTGACTCAATCCACGCCCATCTCCCCCCCCCGCCGCCCCAGGCTCCCCGCGAGCTTGTAGAGGGACATATGCGACCGGGGATGCTTGGCTGACAAAGGCCCTTCCGGGCCCGCTCCCCTAGAGGCCCCGCGCCGGCCCTCAAGTTCCCAGCCAGCCGGGAGGCCAGTGAGATAAAAGCAGCAAGATGAGAAACCAGTAGAAGGTTCTGACCTCCAAGAGGCAGCAGCTACGGCTGTGTGTGTGCGTGTGTGCGTGTGCGTGTGCGTGTGCGTGTGCGCGTGTGCGTGTGTGTGTGCGCGCGTGCGTGCGTGCGCGCGCGCGCACGTGTGTAGGTGTGTGCACACGTGTGTCTGTATGTGTTGTATGTTTACATGAGTACGTATGCACATGTTGTGTGTGTCTGTATGTACACACTGGTCACTGGTCCAACAAGGTGGGGTGGGCACTGGGGGGCTCTGCGGGGCTCGGCCACACATGGGGTGGCCAGGCTGTGGGGAGTGGACATCACAGCTCGGCCCCACGCATGGCCACCTGCTCAGCCCGGCTCCATCTGGGTGGCTTCAGGCAGGTCAGCGGCTGAGGCCTTCAGTGGACACGCTCGGCCAAGACCCTCCTCCCCGTGCCCGCCTGCCCTGCTCGAAGCTGGCTTCGTGCTCCATCTGGGCCACCACCTGGGTCACCCTCCTGCCCTAGTGTGAGCCTGCACAGGGCACAGTGTGTGTGTGTGGGGGGGGTGTTGGTGTGTGCACACAGGCGTGCAAGGCGTCTGCACACTGGCTCAGAACACTGCATCCAAGAGTGTGAGAGGCCAGGGAGTGCAGAGGGGCTGGGGCACACATACGCATGTGGCTCCCACCCCATCAGTACACATGGATAAACTCATCACAAATGCAGACGCAGGGACTCACTCACGGTTACGGACGCACACACCCAAGGACATGTAGACACACACACACACGCAGGGGCTCACACAGTCACGGACGCACATACCCAAGAACACATGCAGGGACTCACACAATCATGGACACACACACCCGAGGACACATACACACAGCGGCTCACACAGTCACGGACACACACGCCAAAGGACATGCAGACACACACAACCGAGCACACAGAGACACACAGACACACACGCCCGAGGACACATGGACACGCACCCGAGGACACACGGACACACACGCCCGAGGACACACGGACACACCCACACAGACACATGCATGAGGACACAGACACGCCTGAGAACACACAGACACACACGCCCGAGGACACACGGACACACACACCTGAGAACACACAGAGACACGCCCGAGGACACACGGACACACACACCCGAGGACACACAGACACACACGCCCGAGGACACACGGACACTGACACAAAGACTTGCACTCTCTCCCGAAACGCCCACAGGAGCCCCCACACCCTCACGTTCTGGTCCCGGGCTCATGGCAGCCAGCAGTAGGATCAAGTAGCCGGGGCTCGGGCCATTGTGGGCCCTGAAGGTGTATGACGACTGCTTTGCTGCCCCTGACCCCCAGGCACCTTGCTGTGGGGACAGCGGGGGCCGGAAGTGGAAGGCGGGGCAGGCAGGGCTTGTGGACTGGGTCTGCGGGTGTCTGCGCCCTGGAGTGCTGCAGGTGCGGTGGGGGTGGGGGGCTGGGGCTGGGCTGCAGGAAAGGGCTCAGGGCTCCTTGTGCGTGGGTATGGAGCAGCCCCCCACTCCCTGCCCCCCCAAGATGGGATGACAAATGGGTGTGTGGGCTCGGGCAATGGAGGCAGCTCTGCTGGGACCATCGATCATGCAGCCCTGGGAGTCGCACAGCTGTGCTGCCTGGTGCTGCCGCTGTCCCCTCCCGCCGGGCACTGGACACGGGAGGGGGCTCCTCCCAGGTCCTGGACTTGGGGTGGGGGCTCCTCTCTGGCCCCTGGACTCAGGGTGGGGGGCTGGGGCTCCTCCTGGGCTGGTGGCAGGTGCCACCTACAGCTCCCTGCTTGGATCAGGTACCCGGGGGAGGCACCTCTTCCGGGAACCTCATTCAGGCGCCATCTCAGCAGCTGCTGACCCCTGGGGACCCAGAGGACGCCCTGCACTCCCTGCCGCGTGTGCACAGAAGCGGGGACCCCAGAGGTACACCCACACGTGTGCACACATCCAGCCTGTGAGGGATGCTCCCAGGCAGCCTGCACCCGTGTGCCCCACATGCCGTCCAAACAGACCCTTCTCTGTCGGGGAGACATGCCCCAGGCCCCTCCCGGCTCCCCCAAGACGCGGGAGGAATCACATCCCACACGCCCCTGTCAGCCCCTGGGATTCGGGGAGCGCCCACACGGGAATGAAGTCGGGCCAGCGCGGACCTAACACCCCTGCCCCCATCTCCACCCCCATCTCCTCAGCCGCCCGCGCCCGCGCCCCCAAGGGTGCCTCCCCTACCGGGACCGGGCTGCTGCAGAAGGTGCCGGAGCCCAGAGGCGAGGACGCCGGGACGCGGGGGTCGGGGCTGCCCCGCTGCGCCTGGACCCGCCCCCGCCCCGTTCGGCGCCCAAACTTCGCGGACGAGCC